ACACGGAAAGGGGAACAGGGACCTTGGAATTGGGTAACTAACTTTCTTACTCTGTGTGTGTATGTTTTGGTTTACTTTTGTTTGTTTTTCCAATAGGACAAGAAATTGGACAAGCAGTACGAGGAGAACACAAAGTCCCTGTTTTGCCCCAGTGTAAGTTGCTGTTCGTATATGGATTGGCAGGAAGGCATCTGATGTGTGTTAGCAAATCCGAACCCAAGGTGTGAGCAGAGCATTTATCAGAGAAGTGGGAAGAAGAAGAGTAAATCAGTTTGAGGGGAAACCTGTGTTTTCTTGAAGAAGCCTCTGTTTGATGTGTCAAGCACTGCAGCTTGGTGGGGTCTGATTCTTCCTTCCTGTAAGAGCTGTGCCTTGACCTTGTTGACACAGCGGCTCTCTTGCGGCAGGTGCAGCTCCCGGGGCAGGAAGCCGCTCTGCTCTGCAGAGCACCGCTTCGCCCAGCAGGCGCCCGTGTCCGGGGTCCCCTTGGCACGGAGTCATTCGGCAGCTTCAACTACAGACTGCTTGTTCCCAGCCAAGTGGTGTCAACGAAGCACAAGGCTCAGCAGGGCAGTGCTGCAGAGAAACCTTTGCAGAATGGTTGTTTGCAGGAGTTGGCTTCTAGTTGCTAGATGTGCTGAAGCCTTGCGGTTGCTTATGGGAGAGCTGGCCTCAGGGTGCAGGGGCCCATCGGTGACACTTCTCACCTTGGAGATACTAAGTTGAGAGAGGAGAAGAGCAAGAAAGTGCCTAGATAAATTTTAATTACAGTCCAGTACAGGGCACCTTCTGACATAGATTTTTGGGTATCCTGTCCGGTGCTTTGACGGCCCAATTCTTATTAGTAACTGAAACATTCAGTGAAGGAAGTGGCGTTTTGTAACGAGAGGCAGGGAACAAAAGCCTGGCAGAGCTCCTGCAGAGCCACGGCAAGGAGGCATACTGGAGTCGAAGACTGCTGAGGCAGGTTGCCTCTGTCATCTGCTCTGATGTAACTGAAGCTGATCTTAGTTTGAGTCCCCCATAGCTGGTCTTGAATGCTGTAAGAAAAGTCACTTTAGAGCTCTGTACATGAACTCAGTCAAGAAAATCCCAGAAGGAGGTGCAGCAACAGAGCTTGGGTATAGTTAATGGGCTCCTTGCACCAGCAACAGCTTTAACAAACAAATGTTGTGTCTTTTGGATCTGCTGAGGTTTGAGCGGTTGGGAAATGCAGTTACTGGTACCAGGTAAAGATCCCATCCTGCCCGCTACTAGCATTTACCAAGTTCGTGGGGATTTTTTTATGCAGAAATCTCTGGATGTTTTCCAAGCCATGCTCAAATAGAAGCAGAAATCAATGGGATTTAACTTAATCTGGGTTGCAGAATTTGGATGTGATCACAGTGGTCCCTCCAGTCTTTGACCCTTCGTTCAGTGCAGATTCTTGCACATGAAAGAGGGAACTCTTCAGGCTGGAAGAGCAGAATAAGCTGCACCTTTGACTGTTTCCCTTAACTGAGCTCTGAGAGTTATCGGGCTCGACCCTGCGTTTCCAGACGCAGGTTTTGCCAAAGTAGCACTGGGCCCAAGGGAAGGTGGGGCTGAGCTCTGCCCCAGTGAGGCTGTCACCTGTGGTGCTCTGTATGGAGAAGGAGCAAGTGGAGATAAAAAGGCCTTTCTGCCTTTAGTGCTTAGCACAGCTGGATTTCTTGACCAGTAGAACAAATTACTTCTGTTGGACGTTCCCTTGCTCCTACGTAAGTATGAATCCACTGTGAAATTCAAAATCTTAACTCCTTCTCCTCCACAGTGCAGCGAGTTCAGCCTGGCCAGCACAGAGTAACCTGTGGTGGCACAAGGGCAGTCAGCACAAACGTGCTGGGAGTGGAGAGGAGGACGCAGTAGCCTTTAAACTGTCCGAATAGGAGCGCAGGTGCTCCTCAGAAGGTTGCCCCTTTCCTTTGAAAAGGGTACAAAAACTGAACCCTGGCCTAGATCCTGATTGCTTTTCCCAGTGACGTGGCTGCTTGTGTCTTGCAGAACGTGGAGATGCTCAGCAGCCTGGACTCTGCCTCCGTTCGAATCATCAAGCCCTTCCCCGCGGCGCAGTCGACAAGCCGGCACCAGCCGCTGCCCACCCCCGCCGTCCCCCCCTTCCCTGCCGCACCGAAACAGGACCACCAAAGAATGGACACTATTCAGGAGGACCCAAGCACTGACTCTCACATTGACGAGGACGGGTTTGAGAAGGACCCTTTCCCAAATAGCAGCTCGGCTGCCAAATCTTTTGAGGACTTGACAGACCATCCTGTCATTCGGAGTGAGAAAGCTTCGTCCTTCAAACTGCAGCGCCAGAATCGGGTGGACAGCAAAGAAACAGAGTGCTAGTGTCGTGCTGCCTTCTGAACGTGTGACTTGTGTCTGCAAAATAAGTTCATTTGGATCTAAAACCATTTCATTTATATAAATATAAATATATGTATATATATTTTTGTGAGGGAGTGGGAGAAATAAGGAAGTGACCTACTGCAGATGCTGGTCATGTGTATGACCTTCCTTAAATTACATTTATTAGAGCATTATATCTTTTAAAACTAAAACTAGCTTGTTTTTGAAGCTTTTTGGATTTGTTTTTCTATTTCCATGACCTTTAACATTTCCTTCAACCTGTGGTGCAAAACCAAATATCCTGCTGGATATTGGATTGTGTATATCAGCCTTTTTTATAATTTAAAATTTTGTAGTCTGACAGCACTGATAGACAAAATTAAGGGGCTTTTAACAACGAAATGAAAACACTGCAGTGTGTTCCATACAGAGTAGATCATTTGGCAATTTAAGGTACCTGTAGGCAGAAGCCTAAACAGATGCCTTGAGAACAAAGTGACAGTAATGAAATGGATAAAAATAGAGTCTCGCAGTATTACACGAAGATGCATCATTGGAATCAAGAAGCTTAAGATGCACAGCTTCTAAAGATATAAAAATAAAAGGATCACCCAGAAGCCGTGAAACCTCGTACGATGCATGAAGATGCTCCTCTAGCACGAAACTGTTCTGCCTCTCACGGTGAGGTCGTCTTGTCTTTGTCATCGTCGTTGCAGAGAAGGGCTTTTGTTGGGAGTTTCCCACTCTGCACTAAGACGCTGGTGTGTTGCAGGTGTCCGGTAGGAGAAGGAAGCGTAAGCGGAGAAATCACTTACATGGATGAGGACCATTTTAACCAGCTGTTTATGGCAGTTGTTTCAGTGCAGAAATGTTTCTCCGCATGTTGTTTTGAAATAGGTAACACTATTGTTGAGACGTTGGAAGAGCTGAGCCTCAGTTCGCAGGATCTGTGTGGCTTTTGGAAGCTCCTACTGCATAAATAAATGGGGGGGACGGGACAAGGACACATTCACTCCATGGCAGGGGGGCATTTGTTTAAAAAGAATTGTGAATTTAACAAAGGTTTATTTCTCTGTTGATTAAACTTACAGGGCGAGTATAAGGAGGAGAATTCATGAATTGAAATTCCCACACAGGTAGGACAATGTGATGTCAAAAGCTGGTAATCTCATGGTGTCCTCTAATTTGAGACACCTGGAGACTGGTGAGGGAGCTGGGAATGGCACGTGAGCGTTGTTTTAGCTTAGTAACAGAGGGACGGGCACAGTGGCGTCGCAGAGCAACTGTCACGACAATAAAGCGGCATCTTCATTCCACATGTTTTCTCCCTGTTGATAAAACTGACATAAAACATCACCACCAGCAGAACCATTTTAACTGTTACGTGCCCGTGCTCAGCCACAGGGGAAGTGCTGCTGTGGAAAGCCTTTGTGTTTTTAAATGTCAGGGAAAGGAACCAAACCTGTGCCCAAAGGATGGCAGGGGCACCCCCCTGTCCTCCCTGCCCAAGGATACTTGTTACACTAATACTTGAACGTGTGCCTTACGGTATTCCTGTCTGACTAGCTATTGTGTTTTATGTACCGGTTTTGGACTTTGTTTGGGGTTTTTTTTTGTTTGGGTTTACTTTTTTGGAGTCAGTGCAAAGTACGTGTGTGAGGAGTTAATTTAATTCCCAATAAAATAAAAGCTTTTTATATTAAAAAAAAAATCAGTTAAACGAGAGCTGTTTCTGTGCAGTCCTTTTAGAAAAGATCTAAATTCTTTATTTTAATTATTTTAATTATTTTATTTATTTATTTATTTTTAAATTCTTAATTCAAGCCACACTTGAGCCAGTTATTTCTAACTGCTCCCCTCTGAAACTCAGCTGCTCCGGAAGCCAGACCATGAGCATCTGCAGTGCAGCTCTGCACCCCAGGGGGCTCTCCTGCTTC